CAGGGAGGACAGGGGGCTCCTTATGTCAGAGGCCAGGGTCAACTGCACAATTAGGGATGTGATCCTGCTGAGGGGCAGGACGGTCTGTGCCTGAAGCTCCCAGATGGGAGAAGATGGAAGGCGGAGGGAGCTGTGGAGGACTCTGGCCCCTGGAGCTGGGGTGGTGGCAGAGGTGTGGCTGGGTATGGGCAGGGTCTAGGCCAAGGCTGGTTGGGAACCAAAAGCCTGATTGTCTCCCTCCTGGGTGCAGATCCCAATCGGTACCGCTACAGCCCAGAGCGGCTAAAGAAGGCTTGGACCTCTCAGGACGAGGTGTCTGCCCATGTGCGCCAGGGGCGCCGGCAATCTGGTAAGGGAAGGGGTATATGGGCAGGAGGCCTGTTCATGGGGCTTTGGACCAGGCAGGGGTCCACTGGTGGCAACATCTGGGCCTGGGAAAGGGAAAGAGAGGGTCATGGCATCTGCGGAGTATCTTCCCCCTGTGCTGGTGCTGCTCTCTGCCAGGTCCCTCTGGGCCCCTCCTGTCCAGCAGGGCTGGGCAGCCCACCTTTTTCAAGACCTTAGGAATACTTGGTCACTCAGGCCTTGGCACCCCATCTTAGCTCCCCTTTGATGTAAACCTCCCTCCTTGGTCACTGGGAATACTGAGTCAGCCAGGAGTAAGTAACCCTGGGACGTCATGCGTGGTCCCTGGCCCAGCCTGAATCAACAGTGCAGAAGCAGGACGTGGAGAAAAGGAGTTAGACTTCAAGTGGCACCAAATCCAGACAGGAAATACTTACTCTGGATCTTAGGAAAAAGTTCCATTTTCCTCTCCTGGATTTTTTTCCATTACTGGACTTGCTACTGGGTTCTTGGATTTGTTAGAATGAATCATCTGTTTAAAAAAGAGAAAACCTTGCTTATGCTCTTAGCTCTGTGGTGATGAGTGTGTGTTTTCTTCATCCGCTTTTACTCTGACATGCAGTCCGAGGCCCAGGGACAGATCTGGCTTAAGCCAGGTGCCTGCCAAATGTATACACAAGGTGGGAGTTGGGGTGAGAATTGTCTTAAAGGTCCCTGGAGAGAAAGATTTTAGAGTGACTGAGAGCCTTGTCCTTAGATCTGCAGGTGCATCGGGTTTTGATTGGTCACAACCTGTGGGTCCCCTGAACACCTGTGTGGATTGACGTGTGGGCTTTGGCCTTCTAGAAAGTGGCACTACTGCGGGGCTGGATGGGAGGGGCCTGGGCCCTGCCTCTCTGAGGCCCTCAGACTTC